AAAAAAAAACAAAAAAATTATTTTCTTCCAATCTTCTCATTATTACATTCCTGTAATTCTTTGTAGCCTGTCTCTGCATATGACAACACGGAAGCTGCACAAACTACTCAAACGCAGTTATCAAATCCTCTTTTTGTAGCCATAAGTACTTTTGTCACTATGGCAATTGTATTCATGATGAGCGTTCTTTTCTTGCCAAAACTTGCTCAACTCGATATATTACCAGCGCGAAGTATTCAAGATGATTTCTTTTATCTAACGAACATAGTTACGAATGCTATCGAACATTATAATTTGTTGGAGAAATTTAGAAATCATCGGATAAATTCTCTCAGGTAGTTTATAATATAATGAGTTAAATAATGTACATAGCTAAGTAAATGTTATAATTAATATTAGACATATAAAAAACATATAAAAACATATTAAACATATAAAAACGTATAAATGATTTTACATTATAATTGTTGGATTAAAATATGTAAGGTTGAAATAAAACTGGATAATCTTTCAAAATATATTCATAACATCTATTTCATTACATACTTTATCACTATAGTTAGATAAATTTTAACAAAAACAACATTGAGCTAAACAAAACAATTCTTATTCGATAACAGTATATAATATTTCTAATTTTGTTCTTAAAAAATGTAATGCTTTATGATTCTTCTTTTGTACATAAATATTAATAAAATTGTACGATTGTTATATAATCAGAGATATGCTCGAAATAATACAACATTAAATGATACTCTAAAGATCTACAAGTATTGTGCAAGTATCTTTGTAATCGTAGTTATTATAAAGAAAATAGGGATGTTATTTGTGCGATCTATTTGGGGAATGTATATGCATGTGTGATTACATTCAAGAACTATCTAAATTTATGATAAAGAAGTTAGGTACTTTTTAAACTTTGCTACATGTACTTCTATCTTTTGTAAAACTATATCTGTTTACATTTTGTAATCTGTACAATACGAAATATATAAAGGAAGGCACACTTTGGAATTATAATACCTGTAAGCTCATTATTCATTTTATATGCTATCTATTCTTTTGTAATCAGTCTGTCCGATTGGCAGTGGAAAAAGAGGCAGCTTGCTCTGCTGCTTTTCGTTTTAATACTTGACGCTGATGTTCATATTCGAAATCTTCTTCCGTTAGGTTTAATTTCCGAATCTACGATATTACATTTACTTAATAAAATACTTATACACGGGAAGCAAGACATGAAAGTACAATATTCTACCTGATAAACTAAAGCTTCTTCTTCCATAATATGGTGAGGAGGATTTCTTAATACTTGAAGTGTTTCATAAACTGTCGGACAGCGTTTAGTAAGAGATGTACGTCCTAAACTGCCTTTTAACAAAACCAACCCAACTTTAAAGATAATCTTAACACCTTCACAAAGAAACATATCCCACACTCGTAGAATACTTTCCCACGGTAGTGTTCGCGTATAAACACATAAGAACCATTCAGTCATATATAAAATTGGTTCCATTTTTTGTTTTTTCTAAAAAAGAACATTGACGACTAAGTAGTAAATAAAATGTAATTTATACTTACAATATTTTTAATACTAACCAAATGTTTGTAAGCAATAGGAGAGACTCTTTTCAAAAGAGCAAACAAAATATCTCCATCGCGTAACAATGTTTCCATTCCTTGACTATAATATCCGATCAAATATTTGTCACATATTGCAACAAGGCACCAAAATGCTTGTACTGCTGGCATATGCATCAATAGAAATGCTGCAATAGGTGCTTGGGCCTGACAATAACCAACTTTGCTATTTAAAATAGAGTAAGCTTTCAATACTTTAAATAATTCTTCTTGTCCAGGTGCTTCTCCGATAAACATTACATGATGTGGAAATTGACGATGAAGATCCTTCTTGATGTCATCTATGTACTTTGGATCGCCAGATCGCTCAACTAACTCTTCAAATAGATTTGGGTTTGTATCCATTAACAATTGACCTCCACAAAGATTTAACCATGCACGAAGTCTTACTGATGGTGGGATACCCTTTCTACATCTTTCTCTAACTTTACGGTAGTTTGTATTCATGAAATAACTCCAATTGTTTAACATCTGTATCCATTTTCTTTCTCTTCTCAGCATTACCTCTGGTGGTAATCCTTGTTTAACAAGGCTAATGTTTCAGACAAACTTTAGTATATGAATATATACTCCATTGTCCTAGCTATTACATTGGTATATGATCATTATTTTACCTGTCAGAGCTACAATTGGAATCTTGAAGAAAACCATGTCGATCAATTTTAGATCCTTCAAATTTATCACTTTCTGTCTCTGCATCCCCGTTATATGATCCTGAGGACGCCATAGCATTTTTCTAATTGTCTAAAATAATACAAAATTCTAATATATCTCTTTTTTGCAAAAATAACATTTTGATTAAAAAAATTTTGCTCGTTGTATCGAACATTGTTCAAATATCTTCTATTTCTAAAACGAACGTTACTATAACTTTACTTCCAAAAGTAACAAGTAACGACGAGTTAGTCGCGACAAAGTCTAACAATTTTTAAATTTGCTGCAAACGTGTCACCAAGTATTCTTTGTACAGTTTTGTAAACTGTGCGTTTCTATATTTTCTCGATTACATTAACAATATTTTCACACGAAAGAAACATTTAATCGGCGCATTTTATTTATAATTACAAATTTGCGTCACTTACAATTAAAGCATAATGAAAAAGAGAATATCTTGACGTGTTTTACAATTGACAGTTGACAGATACATGGCAATGAATTCCGGAAAAATAATACGATAACGTAATCATAATTTAAGATATCAGTGCTTCATATTACACAGCAAGGTACTATTTTGTAACGCCCAAAAAGTTCGTGCAACGAATTACAATCATTTGTACGTGTCAAACTATCTTGCCTCAGCTTGATAACTAAGCACATTTTATATATATATATATATGTATATATATTCATACGGTTATTTACTTTCACATTATCACATTAACAATAAATGGACATATTGTATGAATTAACACTAGACTTACCATCGGTGACGCGCAAAAATTTGATTTGTGAAATTCCAAAAGAATATACCGGACATCGTCTACCAAGTATCGATATTTTACTTTTATAACGCACGTCAATATAGTTACGAGTTAAGATTAATTGTTATATTGCATCAAAATATAGCGGAGACTTTTATCTGAAAATGCAGTTATCAGGTACTCTATGCCAATTGGATAGTTCCGTTCATTCATTTACTGTCACCCAATAGTAAGAAGGGATTAAAAGTAAGGTAACCTCAAACGGCATATATAACTATGTACATATACCTGTATATAGCTATATGATTTGAACGTAATTTCTTATTTAAGAGAGAATAAAAAAAAAAATACATTAAGAATGAGAATTGAAAACTAAATAATTTTATAATAACAACAAAATAATAAATAATGTAATTTCATCTCAACATGAAAGATAATTTTCATATTGAGTTGCATATATGTTGACGTTAATGTGCACATAAATATGTTTTGTAACCTTGTATGAATCATGTAGGAATACAAAATACGAAATTTATGGATTAAAAACTTATTCTTGCTATATATTTTTTAATATTATTAATGTTATAAATGTACTTATATCTCATCGATATATTTTATGTTTCGTTATGTACTTTTTAGGTTTTAGATCAAAACGTGAGTAAAATTGATAAT